ATGTGTACTCACACTGCTCTTTGACTATGCTAATATCTAAGCTCTGTGTGCCATATTAATAGCTGTGTATGCTGTTATGTAGGAGACTTTTCTTCTTGTTTGGCATTCTGTTCCAGATAAACCCTGAGCTAAATCTTGTTCTTGACACTGATGCTTAAAAAAATAGCGTTCAAAATATGTCCAGGATGCAGAAAAATACTCACACTGCTTCTTCAATGATCACAAAGTACCCTTCTATTTCAAGAAAGAGGCAAAGGACACCATCAGTTCCAAATACAGCATTTGTGCTTGCTAATTGTTATCTTCAAGTACGCTCCCCCTGGTGGGAATGAAAAGGTTATGCTCCGAAAAGTGAGATTTGCAAATGGTGTTCTGATTCTCTCTGTATTTCACTTCTCACTCTAATTGCAGACTGGCACCGGGCATGCTTTCAGCTCATTATTCTCCACAGAGGCCCGCTAATGGTAATTCATCCAGTGCTTAATTCTACAGCTTTGACATGGAAAAATTCCTTTAAAATTCAATACTGATCAAGAGAAAAAAGTAGGCCTGCCTCTCTGCTTTTTGTTTAGCTGTTTGGTAACTGGATAAACATTAACCAGCTGGATTGTGCAATTATAATTTCTGTAAGGAACTGTAAATGCTCGCAGTAGCATAGTGTCTGGCAGCCTCACAAATATTAATGAATGCATTCTTGTTCCACTCATGCTATTAAGGGCGATTAAGTACTTTCGCAGAGGTCATGCAGAAAATGAATGGCAGAACCAAGCACTGAAGAAAATGCAAAGCTTTATTGCTAAGAGATACTTTTGAAGACATCCTACAGCACAAACAGAAGTAAGCAAAATAAATACAATTAATGGAAGGGATTATTCACAGTAGGTACTAATTATTTACTATGAGCCTGAACAAACTTAGATGTTGTTTCCAAAGAACTCAGCAAACAGCTTGCTTAACAAGATCAGGAGTAAGGGTTTAGGATTTGGATTAAAAACACCAAAAAAAAGAGTAAACACCAATATATTACTCTAGGGAAATCATCTCTGTTAATTATTTGTCTACAGATTTCCTCAGTATTGCTGTCTAAACTTTATTTGTAAACATGGCTCCATTATTACTATAGTAAGTAATCCAGTCATGTTTAGAAATTTCCTACCAAAATGTAATAGAAGAAAAATAAGGTTTTATTAAAGCAAAAGATGTTAGAGCAAAAGTAAGAATTTGAGTTACTTTATGGAAAATGAAGTACAGAATTTGTACAGATAACAAAGTTAAGATTTGGAGACAAATACAGATGAATATCTCTGTTAATACAAAGGAAAGTCTCTGTTAGTTGTGGAACCAGAGCTAGCAAAGTCATCAGGCACAATGGTTGAGATTTCTTGAAACACAGCTTTCAAGTGTTGGAAGCTATTCAGAAGTGTAATCAAATGGCAGGCTGAAAGGAAGAAACATTTCTATTTCACCTTTTAATGCTTTTCTGTTCTGTGCACTTTAATGTAAAGCTATTTTTCAGATTATGCACAAATGCCTTGACTTATCAGTATTTTTGTTATGTCTTAAAAAGGTGTTTTAATGTATTAAATGCATTGCATTTCTTCTGTACTTAGGGTAAGATATTATCATCGATACTTACCACTGATGTGATCAAGAAGTACAACACAAGCTACACCAGAAGCAAAGCTGAGGGAATATTTAATATTGTAAAGTAACTTCCAGGCACATTTGCATTTTAAGTACTTGAATTAAATGTTTAAGTTAATTAAAAAGGAACAAATTTATGTACTAGGCTCCCTAAAGCAATTAAAATTACACAACAAAAGACAAAACCAGTAGAAACCACGTTTGCTCTGACTACACAATACATCCTATGTGTACATTCCCCATTGATTTTAGGTAATGTACAAGCTTATGAACAAGAAAATGTTGAAACATGACATTTTTACTTGAGGGCTTTCACAGCAGGCATCAAACCTGATTTCATAGTTTCTGTTGACCAACCAGCAACAAAAACAGCCTTGAAACCTTGCCCATGTGGCACTGACATTGAACTAGAGCTGGAACATCAGCTCTTTTCAAGAGCCCATAGTTCTCCAGGGTCAAGTTCTGAAGGAGAAATGAGTTTGGTTTAGGCCATCTAGGCTGGGTGCTGCTAGCATCAGATCTAAGGCAGCACAAAACACCCGCAAGCCATCTGCCTGCTCAGTTTGTGTCCTTGGAAGGGTTTTTTTTTTTTTTACTCTGTAGATCAATGTATAGTGGTCTACTTTCCAGTAGGATTGAGGCTACCTGTATGAGCAGTACTGTCACCTTCATGTACTGTGTAAAGCTTCTAGTAGCTAAGATCTTATCAACAAATTAGAGAACCAGTAATGTGTAAAAGTAATGTGTAAAAATAAGGAATCGAACAGAAGCCTCTATATTTTATTATTTATGGATGAAAAAAAAAAACCAGAACTTGAACACATCTTTTTGAGTACTTTCTTTGACAAGTACTTATGCTGACACACATTAATGAAATATCTCAGATCCTTCTACTCGAGAACTGAACCATCATGCCAAATAAAAGAGATGTTCTTCTTCCCCTGCATGGGATACCCTTCATCTCCTCCTAAATCATTTGACTTATTTCAGGTGTTCTTTTTTCTAATGTGGAATTACCAGGAAGTCTTGAAGATAATAGTGTCACAAACATATTCTTGGTGTAGAAAGGTATTTTTAGAGAAATGATCAATTATATATTTATTAATAATCATCATAATCTAGTACTGAAAAAATTTAAGAATGGAAGGGGACTTCTATGGAGTGATGCACTTTTTTTTTTTTTTCCGTTTGTTTTAATTGGGTTTTGTCGCAGTAGCCTTCACAAAATGGCTTGGACTTTAGTCTGTGGCCTCTTCCAGTAGCACTGCTCATTCCTGGATTGTCTTTGGATACAGTACCAGGAAGTGAGCACTTCTACACTTTCCACCAATTCCCCTCAAAGATGAAACAGAAAAAGAAGACTTTTACAACCCCTTGGCATGGATCCCCGAAGGGCTCTTCAAATAAAATGTAATATGCCACAGTTTCCTCTAACATGCTACCACTAGCCCAGTGGCAAGTATTGCATACTTCAGTGCATACTTCAGTGTAATAAACGCATGTGAATGATGTACTGTGGGTAAAGCTGTTTCAGATTAAACCAGTGCATAAACAGATTAGCAGCTGAGTGCAGCTGCACAGGTAGAAATGGTCACTGCTGAACAGTACAAACTTTGTTACCATTAGGTGGACTGAGCTGGTAAATAGTGGGATTTAGAAACCAGACAGCAGTCATAGGAACAGAATAAGTCAACTTTTTTTGTGTGTTTCTTGCAGCTTGTTTCTCTGAAATCCACTTCTGATCTAAACCAAGAGGTTTCCAGCATTAGTAATCTAAAAACTAGTACTAACTGTGATTAAAATGCATGAATAAAGAGGGTGTCAAAAGCTCAGAAAACTGCACCAAACTAAAAAACAAGATAATGTTCTTGCACACTGGCACAAGACTATTTTTAAATTTGGAATATATATGTATAAATACATTTTTTAGGTAAATGCTTAGATTTTTTCTTGTGTGCTACCTACGGTCCTCTAGGTTTTACTTTGTGTTTTTAGGTTGAAACTAGTGGGCAACAGAAATGGGTTTAGAGCTCCCTGACCACTGTAGAAACAACTGGGACAGATTTTTTGCACAAGCCACCAGGAAGATATTTTTAAAACAATAAATCAAGTTCTCAACTCTGGACTGCTGCGAAAGCTCTGGCATGGTCCGGCATCACATCCTTATCTCTAAATGGGGGAGATATGAGTTTGAAGGATGGACTATTCAGTGGATAAGGAACTGGTTGGAAGGCTGAACCCAGAGAGTTGATGTCAATGGCTTGATGTTCAAGTGGAGTCCAGTGATGAGTGGTGTCCCTCAGGGGTCCATCTCAGGCCTAGTACTCTTTAACACCTTTATCAATGACATAGATGATGGGATTGAGCGCACCCTCATCAAGTTTGCAGTAGACACCAAGATGAACAGTGCATTTGACACAATAGAAGGGAGGGACGCCATCCAAAGGGACCATGGAAAAGGTGAGCCTGTGTAGACCTAATAACGTTCAACAAAGCCAAGACAAGGTATTTGGTATGTGGGTTGGGGCAATCCCAAATATGTGTATAGACTGAGAGAAGAACTTGGCAGTAACTCCCTGTCCTCAACAGAAACAAGGAAAACTCTCCTGGGGTGAGGCCATAGCATTTCCAGCTGGAAACTGCCTTTAAATAATCCTGAAGAAACCAAGATTGTTCGTGTATATTCTGAGTACACAATCTGAAGTGTGAGGGTGAGGAATGAAGGCAGCCATCTGGCTGCACCCACAGCCCCTTCCCAGGCAGATGCAGTTCACTGAGTGGATGGCCTTTGGCAATGGGTGGAGTGGTGGCACCTTTGTGCTGCTGGGCAGTGCTTTGGGTTCCATGTGGGCATTTGAAAAGAGAAGCCAAGGTGTGCGCTTGAGTGATGAGACACTGCAATGCAGGACAGTGCTTCACAGTCGGGGATAGGGTTGGGGATGAGGAATGGGCCGGGCTTGTCCAGGGCCTCCTCCTTGTCCTCCTGAGGACAAGCCCGTGTACCCACCGCTAAGCCCTCAGCTGCCGTCCAGGGCCATCTTGAACAGGTGGCAACTGGTGCTGCGGCGGGGCTGTTGGCATCAGAAACAGCTGGCTGCAGCCGGCCACCATCTGTCTCCCACTCAGTACGCGTGCACGTGTGTGTGTGTTACATTACCACTTAATATTTAGTTATTTGTTTGTTTGTTGTTCCCTCCTGAGGATTGCGACGAGCTCCTCTCCCCTCCAGATTTCAGACTTCCCTCCTCACGCACACCTCCTTCCCCCGCCTCCCGACCAACCCCCGCACCCCGAGGAGAGGCGGGCAGGCGCCGTACCTGGCGCCCTCTGCCCGGGGAGGAGCGCGCCTCTCCGTCCCGACCCCGGCGGCAGCGGCAGCGGCAGCGGCACGGCGAGCAGGTGGGCGCCGAGGGAGGCGAAGCTGGCCGCTCGCCGCCCCCAGCCCGTCACGCCTCTGCCCTCCGCTCCACTCAGCGCGGGGCCGCGGCGGGGAGGCGCCGGCGAAGGGGCCGGTGCCGGGGCCGGGCGGCAGCCGGAGCTCGCCGGGAGGGCTGGGGGCCGTGAAGAGCGACGGCCGGGGCTGCCCCGGCTCTGCGGGGCCGAGACGGCTCCTCGTGCAAACTTAGAGCCGGCTGCGGGGCCGGGGAGGGTGGGGATCAGGATGCCTCAGGCTGCGGGATACGGTGAGGGCTGTGGATGAGGAGAGCATGGTTGCATGTGAGCTGCGGGGCCGGTGCGGTGCTGCGCTGTTTGTTTATCGCCCTCAGACGGGCTGTTTGCACACAGGAAGAACTTTTTTTTCCTGGCTGGTGCCCTTGAAGTAAATGTGTTGGAATAGGTAAGCCGAGGAAAGGGGGATTTGTGTAAATGTAAGCAGTGCACTGTGTTAAATGCTTGTGTACGTATTGCAGTGGGCATGTGGGAATACCTGGTGTGGCCCACCGGAATAGGGAGGATGCAGGGAGGGATGGAAGGAGAAATGGAGGGATGCAGGAGCCAGCATAGCTGCAGGTGGGCTTTGAGATTCTGGGGATGGGAAGGATGCACTCAGGCCGATGGGCTGGGTTGGGCTTGGGACGAAATGCGGTTTGTTGTGAATTGAGAGGGCGAAAGGGCTGAAAGACAGCAAAAGGAGAGATGGTATGGAGGTATAGAATAAGGGTTGGTGATTTCAACATGGAACAGCCTTGGGACAGTCTGGATTTATGGGCTAAAGTTTCTGGGTGCTTCTGCTGATTCAGACAGCAAGATACTGCTGCAGTTGTGTTAACAGCGATACTTGTTACTGTGTGTGCTGCACGGTATGCTCAGCTGCCCTTGATGCTATCTGTATTTTCAGTTTCTCCAGCTCTGTATCCAGCACAAACTCATGGTCATTTAACAGTGTGCCAGTGTTTCTGAAATCATTGTTAAAGTCTTCAGCTTGCTTTCTTTGTACTGATAAACAAGCTACAGGAAAGATGAACACAGGCTTCCTTAGAGCAGTGTGATCTGGGACACTCGTTAGGTATGTGTGCCTGCAGATCCTGCTCCTGCGTGGCCCTGTGACCCAAGCAGTCCTGATGGAATGTGCGGGCGGTGCGGACTCTGCTGCCGCCCACAGCTGTGGGACTGTGCCCAGCCTGAGGAGGAAGGATGCAGCCTGCTTTGCTGACAGTTACCAGCTTCCATGCAGAAGCAGCTCAGTGTAGGATGCTTAAAGGGTTGCGTAAGTGTGTGTTGTTTCACTGACAGTGCTTTGGATGTTTTGCTTTAGATGATGCCAGAATATGAGTTAGAGTCATAAGATTCAGACTTTGGTCATGTGAGGATAGGTACAGAGCTGAAATCAGCATTCAAATCATTCCTTGTTTGATTCTATTCCCGAGAAAGATCAACTTGCACTTGAAGTTCTGATTCTGCACTGGAAAGAGCAGCATACACTACATTTATCAAATTATATAGTATAATACAAAGCAACTTCTTTTTTCTTCTCTGTCTCCATCTCTAATGGCTCTTCCAAAAGGAAATATAGATAAACTAACCTGTAAAGATCCTGCAGCATTTCAGTTACTGCAATACATCAGGAAGGGCCATGCACTGAATTTATTTATGATTGCTATTAAATTTGCACAAAGTATTTAGATATCTTTTTTGAACTGTAAATCAAAACATAGCAGTAACCATACCATAAAAGTCAGCAGCGCTTGTTGAATATCTTGCCTTAATAGATCCTAGCATATTTATGCTAATAGATGCTCTTTGTATTTGAAAAGAGTCACTTTTTGAAGGGGGTGATGAGGTCAGTATTTTGGGAAATCAATTGTCCTCTGGAAGGAAGACCTTGAACTAAAAACAGTGTGGTGGTCATAACAAATAGAAGAGTGTTTGCACATTTTAAGACATAAATGTGGAAAGCGTTAAAGCCGAGTAACATATGATTTAATATTTTAAATTCAAATGTAAATGATATTGAAATGCCAACCAAGGTTTAATATTTTAAGCTTATTCCAGCTCCAAAGCGAAGCTGAGAAAGAATTGGCATCACATTCTTTGTGTGTTTTATAAGTCAGAACCTACCTACAGGAAATTCATGATTTTCAGTAGAATCACTTTCTCTGGAAGCTTTTTGTCTCTTTGCTTGGTGGCTGGGACAAGTTCTGCTTAGTTAATGAAAGCAGGTAAGATGGGCCACGATCAATTCAGCTCTCTTCCCCTGGGCTTCTGTAATAGATTGGTCCTGGATGTGTGTGAGCATCAGACACATTGTTATGTAGGTATTTGATACCATTCACTTAAAGGTCTAATGAATCAGATGAAAAATTGAAGCAGGTGATTGCTTCGGGAAAATGGTGGTGGGTTCTTTTGTGCCCTGATACAAATTTCTGGCTTCTTCCAAACTGCATGTAAAATTAATAACTAAATAAATATATAAGTGAAATATAATACCTAATAAATTATTCTGACTAAAAGTCTTCAGTACTTGCTGTTATTTGTAGAGATCTTCCTCAGCCTGTGCTCTTACAGGAAATAGTTGTACTTCTTGAAAGACTGAAGCTTTCTGAAAAAGAGCTGATAGGAGCAGAACCTTAATGGGACTTCACAGTTACTTATTAATCTCTGGTATCTGTGCATCGGGGTTGTCTTGTGCCTTTGTAACCAGGGTGACCAATGATGTAGGTTGTGCTGTGTTTGCAAACAGAAAAATGTCCTCAGGGCTTCCAGCTCAGAAAGGGAATATCATAGAATCAGAGAATCATAAAGCGGCTTGGGTTGGAAGGACCTTAAAGATCACCCAGTTCCAACCCGCAGCCATGGGCAGGGCTGCTACCCACCACTCAGGCTGCCCAGGGCCCCATCCAACCTGGCCTTGAGTGACTTCAGAGATGGGGCACCGCAGCTCCTTGGGACTTGTACTTTTGTACCACCAACTGTATATGCTTGGACCAACTTGAATATTTTTGAATATGTCCACCTTAAGTGGTATCATTAAGTGACCTCATTCAGTAGTATGCACAACAGCTGTAAAGGCACCTTTGACTGCTATAAAAGTATGTGAAACAACTGAAGATTGTTCATAAGGATGTGAAAAGCATGTTTTCATGCCTTGGTAATTCAGACAACAGTTCAGATGGATTTCCTTTAGATTACCAGAAATAGCTCTCCTTTGATTAAGATAATGGGAAACCTGATTCTTCTTTGCATTGACCCTGTGTCACTGCTGACCACTGTTAAGAGGAGACAAACAGTCCTCCTTGAGGAGAATGGTGACATCAGCAATGTTATCTGGAATACAGCATCCAGGCCTGGGGCCCTCAGCTCAAGAAGGATGCAGAGCTGTTGGATGGCTATGAAGATGCTCAGAGGTCTGGAGCATCTCTTCTGTGAGGAAAGGTAGAGGGAGGTGTAGTTGTTTAATTTGGAGAAGAGAGGGCTCCAGGGAGACCTCATTGTACTTTAAGGGAGCTTATAAGCAGGAGGAGGACTGAATTTTCACATGGTCTAATAGTAATAGCACAAGGGGGAATGGTCTTAAACTAAAAGACGGGAGATTTAGATTGGATATTAGAAAGAACTTTTTTTATTCAAAGGATGGTGAGGCACTGGCACAGGCTGCCCATCCCTGGAGATGCTCAAGGCCAGGTTGGATGGGGCCCTGGGCAGCCTGCACTGGTGGATGGCAGCCCTGCCCATGGGTGGGAATTGCAACTAAATGATCGTTGCCATCCCTTCCAACTCAAGTCATTCTGTGATTGTGTGATATTGTAGGCCAGCTGGGCAGAGGAGAGTAACAGAATAGCTGTGCTATAGCTCCAATACGAGTGATAATACAAAGTGAAAAACATAGGAAAACTGGACAGGAGGTTCCTACAAGATAAAATTCATTAAACTCAGAAAAACAGAAAGTTCAGCAGGAAAACATTTGCTCAGTTTTGACACTGCTTGTACAAACATCTAAGAAAAATACCCTGTATCTGTCGTGCACTTGTTAAGTAATGGATATGCTTATCCTTCACTAACAATGTGGCAATTCCAGCATCTGTCTCCATAAATTAAAGAATTGGCTATAAACTACAGTGCTTCTGTTTGATTCATAAGATAAGGGGAAATGCTTCCTTGCAAATGCAGAACAAAGTGAATGAATGGATTTAGAGATAGTAACCCCTTTGTGTCAGTCCTTTTCACTAACTATAAGCAGCTCTGTTAATGACTGTTTAGCTTTTTTCTAGCTAGCATATCATGTACTCTCTTCATTATAAATAACAAAAAAAAAAAAAAGAATGAGGAGAGCAGAGTATGGCAGCTCACAATGGAGGTCTTGGGATCTTTTGTTCCTCCTCTGAATCTTCTTGTCTGAAAGTTATTATATTATTGCTTTTCTAACTGGCATCGTTTTGTGCAATGAAAATTTCATACACCAGCACTGCTGACTGCATATGAAATACCCCTGGCAGGTTGGGGGCTTTTGTCCGTATCAGTTATGCCTTTAACATAGGCTGAAGAAGAAAAGAAGAGAGCACAGGATCTGTACAAAGTCTGTAGATTTGCTGTTAGTTGAATAGTAGATGTGGCGCTGTGGGGCATGATTTAGTGAGCACGGTAGTGGAACTGTTGGGCTAGATAGTCTTAGTGGTCTTTCCCAACCTTAATTATTTAATAGTTCTTTGATTCTATGAGTAGACAGATAAGAAAATCACGAGGAGGGAAGGCAAGCCAGGCTTACATATGAGGAAAGCAGCGCATGTTTGAGTAACTTGTTTTTAGGAGGAATGTTTGCTCCTCTTGGGGATGCATGAATCACTTCAAAAACATCTGCCAAAATCTGTCTAGGATTTGGTCAGAAAGATGCTTTGACTGATCAGTTGTGCAAGCACAAACAGCTTAGCATGCTTAGGGATGTTACTTGTGCTACCTCAGCTTGTTATTTGCTTGGGTTTTCAGAATGAAGCCCTAAGGAAATGACATCAGTTCTACTGAAAACAGTGGAAAATTGAGCATAAAAATTAATCAGGGATGGGTTAGTCCCTAAATCAGTAAATTGACATAGTGGGAGATCGTAGTGTACTGTGGGAATGACAGGTGTGGGACCTGACTGGATGCTTACTGCAACCTTTTTTAGCCTTGAAATAAGTATACAGCAATGTGATTATACAGAAGTGGGTTGTGGAAAAAAAAACCAAACAAACTTGGATCAAGTGATCATGAAGCTACATTGACTTAACGGGAGGATGAATAGTGCCGTGCTTTGTAGGGATATCTGAGCTTGCTTTTAAAAAGCTGCAGCAGGAGCTGCGGAGGTCCTGTATAGCTGCAGTGTATACTTCAGTTGTTTTGCTGCTTTCTTCTGCCCAGTCTTTTTTGCCTATTTTTTTTTTTTTTTTTTTTTTAAATTCCCATATTCCAATCTGGTACAAGACTATCAGGAAAAGCTTTGTATCTGGCATTAAGACTTACCTACTTTACTCAGGATACATTTCCTCTCTAGAAAACACATTTCTGCTACCTGACAGGATCACATTTCCCTTTCACAGACAGGTCAGCTTTCTGCATTTCTTCTGTATTTCTCAGTATTAGCAATCAGTACTAAACCTCTGATATTGCCAGTGCAGTTATTTACTTGTGCAACATGTGCTGTGTTTCTTTCTCCAAGGCAAACAACTCAACCTTGTAAATGAATTGTCTGAATTTGTCTGGCAGGCATCAGCAACAGGCAACAGTGGAGGTGAATGTTGAAAGGAGCAAAGATAAAGAAGGAATGAAGTGAGGAGGGCGGATGAAGAGACCAGTAAACCACTAGGAAAGGAGAGAGATTTTCGCAGAAGGAGAACAAGAGAGAAGAGGGCCAGATCCAGACTGGTAGAAGTGAATGTTGGAGTCCCAAACCAGCATAAAATTTGATACCAGAGTTAGTTTGAGTCCTCCTCTTGTCCCTGCTTACAGTGATGGTAGGAGATACTGGCTGCACAGGAAGTGTTCACGAGAGCTCATTCTGGCATCAGGCTTTTGCTCTATAAATGAATCTGCTTGTTCAGAGAAGGGACAACTGAAAAAAACACCTTGTTCCTTCATTCCTGTGAAGGTGCAATTTCAAATAATCTGCTGCTGCCAGTTAATCCCCTTGAATTACTTTCCTTCTTCAGCAGGCAACAAAGGAAGTTGACTATTTTTGGATGTTCACTGCTTATTCTGTATGTATGTGTAGATATCCATTGCATTGTCCACTCTGAATATGATGTTTTTAACAAAGACTTGTAACTCAAGTCCTTTGAACTGAAGGGCTGAATCTTCAATTTAATAAAACTCAAATTGCTTCCTTTTGAGAACTTTGTTTGACTAGAAATTCAGAACTGCATTGGCAGGTCAAAGTGTCTTTTATCTGCAGTTCTCTAGGAAATTAACAGTTACAAGTGACTTCACAACTTGTTATTTCTTGTAAAAAATGAAGGCATTGTCCTAAGTAAATGAATGACAGTGGAGATAGATATTTTGTCTATTAACTTCAAAACTAATTTTCTGTTTACGAGAGTAATTACATTTTTATGCACGGAATTTTATAAATTATTGGCTATGAAAGGAGCCGTAAAAACACTTTGCATTTTATTTGTTTTAGGACGCTGAATTAGTTAGAGTACTTAAAGTACAACACTTTTGCAACACAGTGTAGCTCATCTTCCTTAGTAACACAGGATTTTTTTATACCTTTTACCTGTAAGTATGGAAGCCTTGCATTGCTGTGAAGAATGTCTAAGATGAGTTTATCAGTTATGTCACTGAAATGAAGCAGCAGTTTCAGCAGGATTGGCAAATAAGCAGGAAAGGAAGAATGTGTAAGCATGTTTACGAGTTGCAGTTCAGTTGGTCAGTACATCAGTGCTAGCATTTTTACCATTGAAAATAGATTTGGAAGGGAAAAGAGATAACCGCAGCTTCACTGAAAACCTGGATCAAAACTTCCCATTCTTTTTTTGAGGAGAAGTTTTCCTGGAAGCACCTTCCCAGAGGTGATGAGATAACTGCTTTTTACAACCCTTATGGAACAATCCTTACAGTACAGTGACCAGAGTCCAGTTCCAAGCCAAGATATTGATGCCATCTTGTAGGGAGGAATGACTCACATTGCTCTGCCACTTTTGTTTTTCTTGCACTGCAAGCACTGGACTGTTTCTTAAGCTAGTAGAGATCAATCTGATATTGCACTCTGCAGGTCTCTGTATGCTTATATTTTCAAGCATGAGGTTGTCCATACTAAAAGGTCTCCAGGGCTGTTCGTACTGAAACACTTGGAGAGTATAAAAGTAAGCAGTCATCTTCATAATGTGACACTGACCTTGAACTTCAACTGAGTCGCACATTCTTTATTTAGCTTAGGCCAATGATTAACTTTGCTAATGACTGTATATCAAATTCACCATTGTTTATAAATCTGGCAGTGAAATACGGCCTGTCTTTGTGTGGATGATACAGTGCATTTAAAGGAAACCTTTGTATAAATTGCTTCCTTTGTAAAGTCAAGTCTTTGTGCCAGTCCTAATTGCTTCTCATCTACCTTGGTCTCTTTGAGCTCTTTAACCTGGGGTTAGTAATACTGTGAGCATAATTCATTTTTTGTTCTTATGTATAGTTCTGTTCTGTTACTCCTGATTTAAACAGGATGACAAATTTCATATTCTGCAGCATTACAGCAATCATTCTTCTATGGTAAATCTCCACAGAGCACAGGAAGCTACACCCTAAAATAGTCATGCATAGGGAATATGAAGTCATATATGCAGCTTTGCCTCTGAAGGAAGATTTGTCAAGACACAGCACTTTAATTTGTAGCCTCAGCACCATGGGGAACCCAGCAAAGATATCTGCCCTCTGCACACATAGAAGCAAGGCGTCTTCAGATTCCTGTAATCTGCACTAGGTCAGCCCTGGCTGGTTAGTCACACTGTTATCAGGCTGCTGGCAGGATAAGAGTTGCACTGTTAGAGTGTTTTGTTGTTTTGTTTTGTTTTGTTTTTCAAGCAGAAAGAAAGGGGATGTAGCCTTTATTTGGATATTTCCACACCTGGTGGAAATATTCCACACTGGGGAAGCTTTACTGTCATTGCTAGGCTTAAATACAGAATACTGTTATGTGCTGTGAGACAGTTCCACAGATCCTGTGTAGGCAAATGCTTCCTAAGAGTGTTTCATCAGGTATTAAATGGAGGAAGAGCCCCCGTGGTTAGTGCATTGCAATGGAAATGGAAAAGCCAGATTCTCCTTTCAGTTGCGTTGAAGTAAGTGGAGATTGGGAGCAGAAATTTCTCGTAAACTGTATACAGTCCAAAGTGTGGTCTGTTAGCAAATGGTAAAAGACTCAAGTTTTTTTATTCTACTGTGGGAATTTACCTCTGAATGTCTTAAAATATGGATAGTAAACTAGGTATGCATATGAGGGCTTGTGTTTCTAATAAGGTGCAAAAGAGAACTGTAAGTTTTGTGCTTTTGTGTAGCTCTTAAATCTCTCACATACAGCAGAATCCATTGAGTATTTTGTGGACAGCTTTATTTCTGCAGAGGATGGAGGCTGTGAGGATACTCAGAAGCTCTGCTTTGATTCTTTACTAGTTTTGTTTTCTGAATTCAGAAAGTCATTCACACTGAAAGCAGTAGGAAGAAGTGGTGTGACTTGTTTTGATTTCAATTGTAATTAAAATCTAACGTGGTTCGTTCCAAGCAGAAGCTTTTTCCAAGTAATTTCCAATTGTGTGATAGCAGTAGCTGGAAAATTAATGTCTGTAACGTGCATATGTTCTTCTCTGTTCCCTCCCTGTTCTGCCTCTACATGTGTTACACTGGAATTAAAACATTTGTGGCTTATTTGTACCAGGGACTTCAGCTGTTCTTCAGTGATGTTTGAGAGGAACAAGTGTTGCACAATCTACCTCGCAGATCATGAAAGCTGAACAGATGCTTATTAATGCTATTTCTCTTGTGTGATTTTAAATTTTCTTGATTTTTTTTGTTGAAGTGGAAGGATTTAAAAGAATTCAGAACAGTATAGTTTGGAGATCACATGTGACTATGTAAAAGATGGCTAAAAGTTAGAGACGGGGTTTGTGGTCCACATTTATGCTTCAGTTTCTAATCAACAAAATAAGATCAATGTTTTAGATGAACTTTCCTGCACACCGGTGTAGTCTTCATCTTAGCTTTCACTATTATGCAAAAATCTGTAAATTTCCCCACATCTGAATTTCCTAACTCAGATGCACAGTTGCAATGATTGTAAGTCCTGTAATAGTAAACTTGTTGTTTTGCAGTTCTTTCCCTAAATTGATTAGAAGGGTTGAATTTCATCCAACTGTGTTGTTGTATTGTAATGACTATACCACCAAAAGGCAATAACCATTTTTTTTTTAAAGGAAAAGCTACTGATTTAGAAATAATTTTATGTTGCCTACCACATATATTGAAATGATTGTGATTTTTCCCTTTATCTTTTCTCCTGCTCAGCATTGTTCTAAAGTGGAGTTACGGCTCTTCCGTGCCTTGCCCTTCTATGACAAGTGACATATTTTGGTACAGTCATTGTGGACAGACCAGTGATGGTGATCTGCAGGGCTTTGGTGTGATAGCAACGGTGGCAGCAGCTCTCCAAACACTGCGCTGTTGCTCTTCATGGTGCTGGGATCCCAGGAGGACTTCGGCTTAAGGTGAGCCCAATGGCAGTGATACTTCAGAAGGAGATCTTTGGGAAGCTTTTGGATCAGAGCTTGCGTATGTCTAGTGGGCAGGCAAAGTGAGACCAAATCTGTATAAAAGCATAAGCAGATGCGTTGAGTTTGGTGCAGGTGAATCTAACACAGAACTGAGAGAGCAGGTACCAAAGATGGAAAATCTGCATTTGCTCTTTCTTGTCTTCCATTTCGAAAGGAAAATCTGTGTGATGACTTTGGGACTTAAGAAATTTGGTGCTTGAGTTATACATTGAGGATTACTGTGGTTCTTAAACCCAGCAGTTATTCAACCATGTATAGTGAATAGAAGAACAGTCTGTGACACCTGAAATTACCAACTTTAGTGTTAGCATTACCAGGAGGACAAAAAAAAGAGCAAGTATTTATAGATCAGAGAACAATAATAATGCTCAGTGGCTGATGAGATGACTTGTAAGGAGCAAAACAGCTGAAAAGTGTAACGAGTACCTGCAAATGTGCTTCTAAACTATGAAGTTTCACAGAACTGATATTGAGGGGTAGAAGAAACTTGCGCGTTACAGGGTAGGGCCATCTGCAGTGGAGTGCAAACAGGATCAAATTAAGGAAAGCAGAAATTAGGCTGAGTGTCAGGCAGTCTCAACTGAAATTTATTTGACTGTGAATGAACTTCCCAAGGGAAATAATACAAGCTACATTATTTGGAACATCTAAAATTAGACTTCAGAAAGCACTATAAAATTGTACAACCTTGCTTTGGTAGGGAGGTGGACTAGAAAAGGCAGACTTGGAGGTTTTCCTTTTTTGCAATAAATTCTGAGATTGTTGGGCCTGATTCTGGATGATGACATGGAAGTGAAGGGAGGATTTACACTACTTTTGGCCTGAACGACTGAGGTTAATCACTCATGATTTCTTGCCTCTACTTATTGCCAACTTTTTAAACTCAAATGACTTTTTTCTTTCTATTCATGTCCCTCAGGGATAAATCAGACTCCACCCTTCCAAGTATAAATACATCTACATTTAAAATAAGTTTTCCTGACTCTTGCAGATTGGGTAGCAATGTGGAAATAAGGATGAAGATTGGTTCATCGAGAATGTTTACCTTAATCTGTTCGCCTTTGATATTTTTAAGAAGCTTTTTTTCATAGGGAGAGGAAGGTTTTACAAATGTAAGCAAATTCTGAATCATAGAATCATTAAAGTTGGAAAAGACCTGTAAGGTCACTGATCACCAATACTGCTCACTAGATTAGGTCTCTTGATACTACATCTACCCTTTCCTTAAACACCTCCAGGGACACTGACTCCGCTACTTCTCTGGGCATCCTGTTCAAACAATTCATCACTCTTTCTGAGAGGAAATTCTTCCTAATGTCCAACTTGAATCTCCCCTGGCACAGCTTGAAGCCATTTCTTCTTGTCCTCTTGCTGTTACCTGGGAAAAGAGGCTGACCCCCACCTTGCCACAATCTCCTTTCAGGTAGTTGTAGAGAGTGATAAGGTCTCCCCTGAGCCATTTCTTCTCCAGACTGAACCCATTTCCATTAACCACTCTCCGTAAGACTTATATTCCAGACCCTTCACCAGCTTTGTTACTCTTCTCTGGATGTGCTCTAGGGCCTCAATGTCTTTCTAGTATTCAGGAGACCAAAACTGAACACAGTACTTGAAGTGTGGCCTCACCAGTGCTGAGTACAGGGAAGCAATAATCTCCCTGGTCCTGCAGTATTTCTCATATAAGCTAGGATGTCATTGGCCTTCTTGGCCATCTTGGCACACTGTGGGTTCATGTTCAGCCAAGCGTTGACCATCATCCCCAGATCCTTTTCCTCCATGCAGATTTCCAGCCACTCTACCATTAGCCTGTAGCATTGCCTGGTGTTGTGGCTAAACTGCAGGACTCGACACTTGGTCTTGTTGAACTTCATCCCGTTGCTCTCAGCCCATTGATCTATCTTGTCCAAGTCTGTCTGTCGGGCCTTCCTACCTCCAGGCAGATCAGCACTTCCCCCCAGCTTAATGTCACCTGCAAACTTACTGATGGTAATGTACTGACGGTACATGATTCCCTCATCCAAATAATAAAGATATTAAACAAGACAAGCGCCACTACTGACCCCTTGGAAATACCACTCATGAACAGTCACCAGTTGGATTTAATGCCATTCACTGCTTTCTGAAAGAAGGGATAGCTTATTTGCAAGGATTTCAAACAGCATGGAGGGAAAGCTATAGGGCATCTCCAATACTTCATTCAGGGATCATGCATTATAGCCCCTCAAAATGCATTCCACTCCCGTGTTGCTGGACAAGAGGATTTAGGCTGGGTGTATGAGATACATGGTGAGGTGAATGGTAACAATCCTGAATTTTGAGTTGTGGGTGGCCATACAGAATCATATTCTGGTGCTGGTGAGACAAGCAGCCAGCAAAGTTATCTGATCATATTTCAGAGGGCGACTTCTAAATACCAAGATCTGATTCCCATTTCCTCTCTCCCACTGCTGCTCGCCCCCAGCGTACGTTGCCTCCTGCTGCTTTACACATGGCCTGCTGCAGAAGCGTGGGCTGTGGGCTTTTTCTCATTTGACTAAGGGCATATTTCCCAATCTGAATCCTTAATAAAGACAAAAGGCCTGTATTGCAGGGTAGGAAGATAGTAACCTGTAACATATTATTAAGAGGGAAGACTCATTCTCCTTATGTCCATGTTTTTGAATGACTTAATTGAGGAAAAGAGATATCTTCTGATAACAGCATTTTGCACAGGCCAATGATGAGGATGGAACAGTGGAGATGCTGGTGATGCTGTCTTTCTTGGAAAGCCTCACTGAGCTATTATTAAAAAGATTACAACCAATTCTTACAGATCCAGAGTGCTTTGATATGTTAGTCCTTTGCGTAGTATTCTCTCATGGGTGAAAGCAAATGCTGCAAAGTCTCTGCATTTTTAATTTGTGATTGATCTCCCGTGAGGGATTTTGCAAGATGTAGAAGGAAAATAGTCACATACTGTATGGATGTTGTTCACGTAACACTTCCTAGGAAAGTGAACAAGGCTGCACGTACATTTTAATTTTGTTGCCTCTCCTAATCTTGAGTTCCTTCAACTCAGGAAGTACAGTGGGGAGAAATTCAGAGGAGAGCAACAAGAATGATCGGGGGTTGGGAAATTATCACCCACAAGTAAAATTTTTAAAAAGCAGGGCATTTGGAAAAAGAAGAAATGACTGAAATGGGAGGTACAGGCCTTTAAATACATGAGCTGCAGGGAACAGAGACAACCAGTTCTAAGTATGTATTCTTTTATCCATCCAAAGTGAATAAGAGATTCAAGAGAAAAAGAGCACAGCTGGGTCAGGAAGCTCTCTGGTGTTGGAAGGATGTTGCAGAATATGTGGTGGTGAATTGAGTTAAAACGCTCATGGCCAGTCAGCTGGGGTGTTCCTCAGGGTTCAGTACTGTGGCCAGTCCTGTTTAATATCTTTATAGATGATTTGGGTGAGGGGATTAAGTGTACCCTCAGCAAGTTTGAGGATGACACCATGTGAGGGGAGGAAAGCTCTGCAGAGGGATCTGGATAGGCTGGTTCGATGTGCGAAGACCACCTGTATGAGCTTCAACAAGACCCAGTGTTGGGTCCTGCATTTTAGTTGTAACAATCCTGGAAAGTTGCATAGTGGAAAAGGATGTGGGGATGCTAGTCGACAGTTGGCTGAGCATGAGCCAGCAGTGTGCAGAGGTGGCATCCTGGCTTGTATTAGGAATAATGTCACAGCAGGACCAGGGAAGTGATTGTCCCTTTGTGCCCAGCACTGCTGAGACTGCACTTTGAGTACCATGTTCAGTTCTGGGCCTCTTACTGCAAAAAGGATATTGAGGCCCTGCAGAGTGTCCAGAGAAGCGCAACAAAGTTGTTGCCCTTCTGTTGCTGAAGGATCTGGAGCACAAGTCTTATGGGGAATGGCTGAGGGAGCTGGGATTGTTCAGTCTGGAGAAGAGGAGGCTCAGAGATGAGCTCATCACTCTCTACAACTGCCTGAAAGAAGGTTATAGCAACAGTCAGCCTCTTCTCCCAGGTAACTAGAAACAGAACAAGAGGTAATGGCTTTGCCAGGGGAAATTCAGTTTGGATATTCGATTCGTCTCAGAAAAAGCAGTTATGCATTGGAACAGGCTGCCCAGGGAGGTCCCTGGAGGTGTTCAAGAACACTGAGGGAAATGGTCAGTGGTCATGGAGGGGTGGGTTAGTGGTTGGACTAGGTGATGTCATTTTTAAAATTATGGCTAATAGTGCTTACTTCTAATAACTCTGAATTCTAGTCTTGGGTGATGTCTTTGCTATATTATAACTTGAATAGCTATTCAAGCATATTTTGGTATGTCCAGTTTAAAGATTCTGTAACGATCTAAACTCTAACTAAATAATGTTAAAACAGTGTAAAATTGCATCTTTTCTCAAACAACCCAATTCAATTAAATTTGCCTAGAATACAGTCCAATTATGGGAGCTTTGTGAAATGCAGTCAACCAAAATCTGTCATTAACCTAAACTCTGCAAATTGTTAATGATATATCTACCAATATTGCTTTAGGTACATTTGCACAAGCTTTGGGTGTTGATAATCCCATTTCCTATTTGTAAATTAGTGTCTTCAGCATTCTGTTGGAACACATTTGTCCTTTTAGTCAGTATATTAATAAGGAATTGTGTAAAGTTAACATTTTAAAGTGACACAGAACAACATACATTTGACTTTAGTGCTTGAAATGTCTGATCCTTATATGCTGCCATTTAGTAATAGATCTATATTTAATGAAACTCTAATCTGTAGAACTATTTCTTTTTTAATTCAATCATGTATGTCTCTTTTTTTTTTCTTTTTTTTTTTTTTTACATTGTGAGTCACTGGACTTGCTCCAAAGCTCCTTGCTTGATCTTTTGAGCATCAAACCTCTGATTTAAAGACATCAGAGTTTTTGTCCCAGTAGGAGTGTCTACATTTGGTTGACTGCGATTAGTTCTCTGCAGAGTTGCATTTTGGAGCTGTGGGCTGGATTAAGGGAAAGCATAATAATTAAAGCTGGACAGCTTGGCATCTATGCATTTGGTATTCATGGCACTTGTCCAAATATGTGAGCTTGGTCTTTATGTGCTTGTTGTCATCAGATAACTGTAATGAGGCTGTTCTTACTGTAGTTTTGGAAGCGGTGCAGAGCAGAAGTCTTCAGTCTGCTGAGAGCTAGAAATTTGGCTGATCTTCAGCTTGCAGTGCATAAACACATTCGTTCCTCTTCTTTCTTTTTTTTTTTTTTTTTTCCAGTTTTCTTTCTCCTCCCTTCCTTCCCGTCAAGGACACAGACTTTGGCTATATTTTTCATAATTGTGTGAAGCTAGAAACCTGACGGATGCCTGTGCCACCTCCGCCACCTCCTCCTCCACCACCTCCACCACCTTCTGGAGGGCCCCCTCCACCACCACCACCTCCGGTAAGGCTGACTTTTTATCTCCATTAGCAAAATCTTATGTATGGTAACCAGCTCAGAGCTCCCAGAATTTGGTGTGCACGTTCATAGCAAGTACCTGGAGCAAGTGTCGTTTTGCTTGCTTTTGCTCTTCTGTTCACTACAGCTGTGGTCTTCAGAGTGAGGTAAAACTGTCCACTGAGGGGAAGAGAGAAAATGTTTGGACTTCAGTAGTATGTGTGTGTCATTTATAAATTAGTAAATATATGTATACTGGTTGTGCATGCTGAAAATTTTTTCATTAATAGGAATGTATGATCACAAAAAGTTAAAAGATTGGAGACCCCTACATTAAAGTACATGTGGTGAGAATTTGACATTAGTGAATTCTTCTCCCTTCAGAGAAATGATTTTTGTGTTATAACTTGCAGGTGGTAAGTCTTAATTTCTTCATCTGCTTTCATATAGCTTCTGTTAAGACTCTCAATGCTCAGCTGCTGCTGTTTCTCTTTCTAGCACATGCCATCTTCCTGGGGATACAGCACAATATGCTTTTATACACGTGCAGGAACAATTACTGCTTGTAACAGATCATTACTTTGTGTGCCATGAAGTAGAACATGTACCTTGCCAGCACATTTGCAGTAAGGGGAGGATGCTGTGTTTGGAGTTTCATGGTATTACATTTTGAGAGCTTCACAATTAACAAACAAGGTTAAGCCATTCCTTTTATACCGTAATCTTTTGTTCATAACCTGTTTCTGCACTGAAATTCATAGGCTGTTTTTGAAGAAGTAAAAGTTGGCATGGTTATGTTCAAGACATGAAATCTCTCCTTATGTTTCCATGTATTTTTCTGTCACTGTTGTAATTATTTGTCATGTAAGTTAGTTCCTATAGCAAAACAGTACTTTTTCATGCCTCAAATGTATCTGAGGAGGTTTTTTTGTTTGTTTCTTTTGAGAAATAAACAGTCTATTGGGATGTGGCAGGGTCAAGAGCTTTATTCCTGTCTCGTGTTCTTCAGTGTCTGCTATTTTGTTCCCACAAAGATCTGTTGATTTTTATTTTTTTATTTTTTTTAAATAATGTTTTTATGTTGTCTTCATCCAGGTGGAGATTTTCTTGCATGTTTCTCTTAACTACTTTGCAGGCTGAGCCATTTTGTAGAACTCTCCATGAACTGTTGAGACGAAGAGGAGGAAGACAGAGACAGTGCATTAAATCAGCAGTGTTTGATTCCTTTCGTCATTCTGCTTTAATTTTAGGCACCATCAGCAGTGTTTTCAATTAGCAGCTCACTGAGTTGGTACACCTACAGTTAGATACTGAAATAGGTGGGCTGCATTTTGTAAGCAACTTAATGCCCACATCAGCAGCCAAAGTCAACAAAGCTGCAAGTGTTCTTATCCTAATAAATTTAGCTCAGTAAGAGAACTTTTTAGATTCCTAAAACAGATTGTAACTGACTTGGGAAAGCTAAGAGGACCCCTAAGAGCCAATACCAGCAAGTTCTGTTTTTTTCCATCCTCCTTTGCTGATGGCCAAAGCCTCTGCTACGATAGTTTTGATATAAGAATTATGACAAAATTATACAATATTTCCATATTTTATTTAGATCATTCGTTAACTAAAATTATCTTCTGTTGGTAAGATGTACAGAATTTACACTCAGTTTCATCTTGTTGATGCGATGGAAACCAAACGTATTTCTAATTCATTTCCCTGTTCATTGCAGTTGGACTAGATGACTTTTAAAGGTTTCCTCCAACTCTAAGGGTTCTGTGATTCTTTGATATTAAAGCCTTCCTTCCAAAGAAAGTACTGAGCACATGTGCCAATATAGAGAATTAGTATACCAGTGTGAGTGAGTATTGCTTTTCTGTAACAGCAAAAGGATTTTTTCCTGTCGTAATGGAATCAGAGAGGGCCAACGTTGGGAAGACCTGTAGTCCAAGTTCAGCTGAAGCACAGTACAATAATCAGATCTCCAGCTGATGTTAAGTTGCACAGTAAAATCTTCTAATTGAGGAATCCATGAGAACTTGCTACAGGCTCTATTGTCATTTACTGTTAAGCTGGTTTTTAGAACTTGGCATCTGCCTTTTACAGCTGCTAATGTGCACAGCTGTTGTTACAGCTGCTAAATCTACAGTTGGAGGATGGAGGCATAAGAATTCTCATAGTCATGTAGCTTTAAGCAAACCTTCAAAGCAAGCAAGTTTTACTTGGTCAACACCCAGAAATGTTTCAAAATACACAGCACTGTGATTTTTGTTCTTTCATATTGATATAATTAAACCACAGTAATACTTAACATATTGGCAAATAAAAGTTAGAGTTTAATTGCTGTGTTGATGTTTAGGCAATCTGCTGGTTTCACGGACTTGTTTTATGCTAAAAGGGAGATGAGTGTGTGTTGATTGGGGTTGTAGAATCCTGTCATTTTGCATGATACCATTACGTGGGTTATGTGGGTACCACGGATTGGTGTTGCTTTACTAATTGTATGGGTAGTAGCTGTGCTTTCTCTTGGCTTTCAGTAATAAAAGATTTTTAGAGAAATAGTCATTAATATTTTTTTCTGCATGTCTTCTTAGTGAATATAGTGAGCCTTGATCCTAAATGATGTTGCAGTCCTTACCTCACTGAAAGCCTAAGCACTTTGACATTTTTGTACTGTTAACTTCAGTCAAAAGGAAGTTTGGTTCTATACTACTCTTTTCGAATCTTTGAACTTGCAGATACCCTGAAGTATTTGTACTGAATTCTCACTTCTTGCATAGTTGCAAGGCCATACTAAAGTGATTTGGAGATGATATTTAAGACATGCTTGGAGCCACCTGTGCCCAACAGCTGAAAAAGACTGCTAGAGCATACTTCAAAGAAAACCAAGTGGAATTTTTGGGAGGGAATGCTATGAATCTGTAATAGCAGATGCAGGTGGCTGAGTCAAAATGTAAATATAATTAGATTAATTAGGCATGTCTTCAAATGCATGCCTTCATGGGGTCAGAGGAGAGAGATGAGTAGGCAGAATAAAACTGTGCCCCAATACATTTGCTGGCATTGGTTTGCACTATTCAGATCTTTTATCCTTTTCTATTCCTTTTCACCCCTTTTGCCTTGTAGTTGTATGAGGCATGATGGTTAGTTTAGGTTGTCATATTTCCAAAAGTAGAGACCACTACTGAGACAGATCAAGAAATTTCTCAGGTAAAGCTCCGAAGAGATGATCAAGAGAGAATTTTGCTTTGATAAATCTTGCTCACTTTTTATGTGCAGTGCTGTGTTGCCTTTGTACATAAGAATTCCCAATGTTATGTTCAGTCATCACACATTAAAATGTTAATATTGAAGGAAGTGTGTATATGTTGCAGGCTTGCTGAGTTGAGCCTTATTCACAGGAGGTGTTTGTTTAATGACTCATGTATTTGTGGAGCTTAAGAAAATACTTCTATTCTCGTGTTCCTAACAAAGCCTTAGCGTAGAAATGAACCCCAACATTTGCAATAGATCACGTGATTGAAGCCAGTAAATCAGCACCAGGAGCTTATTTTCCTTATTGGCCTACTAAAAAATAGGAGTAAAGGAGAGGAAAGAAATACACTTATTGGGAGACTACACTTCAGTGGGAAAAATGTGAAATTTGACATAATGCTGAATATGAAATTGGTATGTAAATTAGTCTGAATGATTACTGCTTTCTCATTTAGTTAAAACAAAAAGAATTTCTGCTATGGATGAACGTATGTCAGTGTTCACCAGGTTTGTTATTTTGGCCATACTCTATGCTTGTAATAAAAAAAACTCAGAAGAACAATTCCTCATGGTATAACACTGTGACAAATGCATAATTTACACAGAGATAGAGTTTGCAATGTTAAGGAAAACATCAGCTTCGTGCAATTGTTGGAGTGCAAACCTTGTTGAGCTGTTTACCCCAACCTTCCCAAGGAATTCAGAGAATGACAGTGCTTATCTGAAAGTGTGTGGGAGACGGTTTTACTCCTGTGACATTTGGTTCTACTGCTCTTTGAAAAGAGAAAAACAGTGTATGTAAAACAGCTTGGCTGAAGGTAATGACGATTGGTGGTACTCTGATTTGGTCCTACTGAATACCATGAGAAGAAGAACGTACACGCGTATGTATGTGTATGCATAGGTAGGTGTGCATACTTGCTCATCATTGGTTGTAGAAGTAAAGGCCACTTCTTAAGTTTTCATTTGGAACCCGAGATGTGCGAACATGATGCTGAATGGTTAGCAGAATCATGCATGGTGCCGATTATGAACTATTTAGGAATGTGTTTATTAAAATTTTCTGCGAGCCTTGAGTAAGAAGATACTTGCTACTTTGTCATGAAGTCCCTAGGTCATGGGATAGCAAATCGTCATGTTTATTGCTGCGGAGAGGGAGCTCATGCCTGCTGATCTACTTGCTGGCTGGCCATCACAGGGGCTGTGCGAAAGGCTGGACAAAGTGTGGCTGAAATTGTTGAGGGTAATTTATTCCAACCATTCATTCCATCTTCATTCCAAAATTCCAAAATAAGCTGATTTATGATGTTTTAATAATGTACTGCATCTCACTCCAGTCTGCTTTCATAAAGAAGTGAGGGGCAATTACACTTCTGTCTGCATGCGGTTCGTTTAACTTTATTTTTGGAGAGTGGAAAATGTGAGATTACATAGCTATGGTGTCACAAAGTGGTGCTGCTGTAGCTTTCTGCACCTGTAGGCAACGAATACAGAACCGATCTGTGGGAACTGTGAAAGGTGGGGAAGACGTGGAGAAAGCAGAAATACTACATTTTTGTAGTGTGTAGTACGTGTTTCATCTGGCCAGGGACAGGAGCACTGCATATGCTTGTGTGTGCTAATTTTCCTCATTGCTTTCCTTGAAATTTCTTTGGTCACTGCTTTTGCAGTGAGCTCTGTTCTGCAATATATTTCATAATGCTGTGTGTCAGACATGCTGTATGAATGCAGTGGGAAGTATTTAAGTTTATTCTTGCTTTGGCTGTCCTTTTTTTACGTTTGATTTGTGAACCACTTTCTTGTATTTAATGGCTAAAAGTATGAAAACTGTAGTGTGCCACTGTAAGTGGCTGTAACTGGTTGATCCCCAGCACTAGAAGCTTCAGAGAGCAAAGGGTTGATTTACCTTTCTTCTCACAAGGTGTTATTGCCCTGAAAAAATCACATCTGCAGTATATGCAATAGCTGCATGTTAAATTCCATCTCGCAATTCATGCTACACTTGAATTAGCCTCTCAATTAAAATGCAACCTGGAATTATAGCAATACCTGTGCTGGAATGTGACATTGCAAGAAACCTCAGTTTCTCAATATTGTTCCAATTTGGGCTGACCATAATTTTGCATTGGTGCTAAAATGCAAATCCAGGTAATTGGGTCGGACGGATAGCATAGCATTCTTAAACAGAACAGAAGGTCAAGTTGCAATATGTGTAGCTTGCCACCTGTTGTTGAGTATTTTGTTATCACCATTCAGAATAGCCCGTGTCATTCTGGAGACCCCGTTGTGGTAGGGCAGGTGGTGACACCAACTCCCACTGTGGTATTTTCAGCCTTGTTCAGTGTGTGATGTTTTTACTGTAGTGCCAGGACTTAGGGTTTACTTCTTTATATAAGAATTTTCACTTTTTTTTTTTTTTTTTTTTTTTTTTTTTAAATGCAGAGGAGAGCTTGAGAGTTTGAATCCCCAAAAATGTGACAAAATTTTGACATCAGAAGGTGAATTTCTGAAGCCAGACCCAGGGTATTTTTGGTATCTGACTCATGATCTTTGTGAGCTGCTGGGAAAACACATCAATGATAATTTGATTTTACAGTGCCTCCATTTTGGTGGTTTATGTTCCTCGGTATTTTATTTTAGTGAAAGAATGGCCAGAATTTGTATTCAAAGTGTGAGTGTCAAGAAGTTAAATATGTGAAAGTTGAATGGCTCAGCAGGTATAAATTGTCATATTGATTTTGCTGCCTTTTTGCATTCAGGTACAAAATTTAGCAACCCACACAGGAAAACTTTAAGTACTCTGTTGTTAATAAACCCACAGTTCCATTCATAGCAGGATCAATCTAACTCTTAAGAATGCAAAATTTGTCATTGTCTGATGGAGTGGCACTGACATAAAGCGAGGAGGGTTTCTGTGGGGCGCAGTGGCATTGATTGCTGGTGGCCATTGAAATGAACACTGGAATACAGAGGTAGGAGAGAGTAACACCTACTGTGCTTTTTCTTATCTTTTGTTCCCTGCCATTGTGATTGCCAGCACATTTGCATCTAGTTGTACCTTGCAAGCAGGTAGGATGCTAGCGCAGAACACAGGGCTTTGCTAATGGAACACCTCATTACTGAGATCTGCTAATGCCGGGATTAGGCTGTGGCTGAAGTGCTGGAACAGGTCTCTAACTAAACTTCTGCACCATACTTCCTTTGCTTGAGGATCGAGTGTGGTGTAGACACAGCCTATCTGAGTACACACATTGCTCGATGGCCTTTTCAACCCTTCAGATTCAGATTGCAGAACTTTGCATGATAAATGTCAAGATCACAGTTAATCATTACTTAGCTGGGTGTAGATGGAATCACAAAACCCTGCTCTCGTCATTCTCCTGAAACAATGACTTGATTAGCTGCCAGGAAGTGATTTGGCGGGTCCCTCCTGTGGGTTCCCTCAGAAATAATGTGGGCTGGATCATGACCCGTCACATCGTGTGTGCTTGGAGCTCAGATCACTACAAGTGTGTGAGATGGCCGTGTTTACGCAGGTAGACTGAGTGCCAAGAATTAATTGGTTTCATGCTATGCTGTAGAGCAGGAGTACAGGAGTAGCTCTGACCTTGCCATTGAGAGTACAAGGGGAACTTGCACCGTGGTGAGGTTTCCCTAATCGAGAGGCTTGAAATCAGAAGCTCTGTTGTTAATGGACAAACCAAAATTTGCGAGTACTGGATCTCACAAACTTCTGTGTTTTTCACTTTAGAATACATAGAATACAAGAGATTATATATTTTGTTGGAGAGGATTGTTGGGTTCTTCCTCAAGCTGGAAAAGGGGGATGCTTTGTTTATTTTATTTTACATTTGACAGTGCATAATTAAAACCACACCTGATGCACAGTTAAAACAAGAAAAGAAGGGTGACAGCATTTTTCTCTACCATACTTCTGCTTGCGACTTGTTGGAAACGGGGCTTATTATTTTAATAAGCTCCTGGGTTTTGTTGCACTTGTGCTTCCCAGCACTTTCCTGAGGGAGACCTCAGCTGCCCATCAGAGAACGCTCTGTGATAGGAATGTTCCTGCCTGCTGAGCAAACTGCTGCTGCTACAAATTTAACACTGTGAATTCCTGGCGTAATCCTGATCTGGCAGCAGGAGTTAGATTTTGAGGGAAACAAGTTCTTCTGGTGTTTCAGATTTTGTACTACTGAAGTATAGATGAGTTTCGTAATTTTGTACCAAAGAGGGGGATGGCTCACACTGAGATTTATGGTCATCTTCAATCTTCCATCTTGTTCCAAAACAACCTGATTCCTTCAATGAAAATTATGATATTGTGGTTGGTTCAAACATTCTGGCATCTTACTGCAAATATTTTTTTCTTTCAATTCTGTTTTGGAAAAGGATGGAAAAGTCATTTAAAAGTTGGATTCATTTAAACCCATGAGTCCTGATTCTCATCCCCTCTCACTGTGCTCATCTGCTTGTAGAGCCTTGTGGTGCCATATGGGCAGTGAGAACACCAATGGTCCTTCCTGAGAGGAATCAACCCCCCCAAAAAATGTGTTCTGTTCCTTTTGATGTTCTTGGCTGTCCCTAGCATTGTGCATACACAATGTACACAGCTAGCTTAACCTTTGTTGTCATCCTTCCTGAACAGGCTGTATCATCCGCTCTAGGATTCCAGTTATTGGGGATATAGGAACAAAATTTGTTCCTTGTTTTTGGGAGGAAAAGGGGCTGTATCTCTGATTGTTCAGACTCTTCCCCAGGCTTCATAGGTTCCTTGAGTTCTGGTTTCAATGTCGCGGTTGTTCGGCAGTGCTCACACACAGTTCCTTCACCCAGATTGGCACTTTGCATCCCTGGCTGCATTGCCTGAACATCTGGAGCTGGTTTTGACGCCATCTGCTGCTCGCGCTGCTGCTGTTAGCTGTGCATTGCCACACCTGTAGCCTTACTTCTTCTTTCACATTTCCAAGTTTGGTCTGTGAATCATGTCTGGTTGGATGCTGGAGGAGGCCAGGTCTGGCCCTGTGCTCCTTCATATGTCTTTGTGATCAGGCGTCCCCTATCCTAAAGCATTCTGTTTGTCACTGCAATGCATTTCTACTTCCTCACAAGGCAAAAGAGAGATGCTACATGCTGCCCAGGGGAAGATTTCTTGCCTCAGCCCATGTCTGGGCAGGTTCTGCGAGGAATAGCATAGGAAGATAATAGGAAGGCAAGGATTTGTTAAGGGATATCATCAAGCTCTTTGTTTACTGAAATACACAGAGCGCGTGCATCCTGCCAGTGTCTGATCTCTGCATCAAATTCCATTTTGATGAGGGAAAAATGGAACACAGGAGAGAGTAAGGAAGATTGACAGCAGATTCAGAGAAATAAATGAAATTGTTGGCAAACGTGAGAGCTGTCTTTCTGCCCATAATGAAAGACTGTGTGTCAAATGATTGATTGATCTTTAATTTTGTTGCCATATATCTTACCAAATAGATATTGTTAAGCATGGGCTAAATGTATTTTGACTTTCTTTAAAATCCAATTCAGGTAAATAAATACATTTTCTACACGGCTCTCCTTAACGTATTTCTTACAGAAAGTGATCAGGAAAGGGAATGTACTGTGATGATGCCATTCATTAAATATTATGAATATTAAAATATTAATTCTCTGAAATAAAAGAGAATGCAGTGTTCTTAGATGGAATTGTCCTTTATTTTATCTTACTCGTGGCTCCTACCCACTACAGAGATGGAGCATGGGATCCTTTTTCCCCCATCAGATGATGGGTTAATTCTGAAATAAAGGTCTATGGTTCTCTGGTTGCTGGATTTGCAGAAGGCTGGAGATACACTTGTGCTTCAGCTGTCGTGTTTATGAAGATCTACACTATCCCAAATTACTTTTCAAATTCAGTAAGGAATATATTTAAACATCAGAAAAAGTATAACCCATTTATGGGACAATTTATGCGTCCGCTGTGACCTGAGCTACCTGTCCAGAGGAATTCTCCTTTTCTGAGTGCAGAGCTGCTCTTTAACATCTGAAAGGTAGTAATTAGTATGTCCCTGTAATTAGTACTACAGTGAACTTTTCCAAATGCCTGGTGCTTTCTTCATTTACATCATTTCAGTACCTGAGCACATATACCTCTTAAATATTTTAAGTGTCGTAGGAGCCCAGAGGGTAGGTCAGTGATTGCACTCAGCTTGCAAGATATGAAGTGAATTTCCTAGGATGAAAAAAAGATTTTAAAAAAGCCCAATGACTTGTGCTTCACAAAAAGCTCTCTGCCACAGAGGGGCCAGCCTTAATCTGAAAACCGAGACTGAAATAATCTGCTGTTGTCCACAGTTGTTTTCCTCAAGGAATGGTCACTCTATAATTGCCTGCTTTCGAATCATAGGTTGCCTGTGTTTTACATGAAATCACCAAACGCTTGTCTCTGCTGGGTTAGCAGGTCCTTAGCAGTCACCATTCTTTCTCTGCAAGGCTCTGTGCGTTCTGTAGGCAGATCACCCTCAAGGCTGATCAACCAGGCTGAGCTCCTGAAATCTAAATGTTTGCTTTCTGACTGCCACTTTGGTTCTCTTCTGGCATCTCCAGTGGTGGAGAGTATGTTTTGCATTCTTGTTCTTTTTGAATGGCCTCAACATGCAGTGATTCAAAGCCTCTGTATCCTATCCTCATTTTTCATTACTGTGCTGGTCTGTTACCACCTGTAAATTTTGAAATGTTTATTTCCGTTGTTGTTAATTTATAAGCTGGAACATCCCATTTGATAGCATTTTCCTGTTTACAAATGCTTTGGTGTCGTGTTATGTAGTCCAAACTTTCATAGACTCACAGAACCATAGCATGGCTTGGGTTGGAAGGAACCTTAAAGCCCAGATAGTTCCAACTCCCTGCCATGGGCAGGGCTACCACCCACCACATCAGGCTGCCCAGGGCCCCATCCAACGTGGCCTTGTGTGCTGCCATGGATGGGGTCCTGTATTGATCCAATGCCTTACAGAGAGCCTGATGTTAGGACACTGAAGGCAGAGCTGGTGGAGTTTGAGACGAAGAGGGAGTACTTCTGTTATGTTCAGGCTATTTGCATGTGTGGTTTGTTCCATTCTGTTTCAAAGTACATATTGAACATGCCGTTGCTTGTACTTGAATTAGTAGCAGAATAACTCAGTGGCTATTAAAACAGTGAGAGCCCACCAGTCCTCTGCTGCTTCATGTAAATAAAGCATAGAATCTGATTTCAATCTGTGTTACCTTAGGCAGTTCTAGCATCTGATAAAATAAATTATCTTTGCATTCTCTGCTTCCCTTTTGGTTTTCATTGAAAGAGTGAGGTGTTTCTGTAAATAAGTGAGACTGCCCTTCAGTGAGGGGAAAAAGAAGCAGTCTGAGACTTACTTACGTCCTTTGTTTTGCAGCTGTTTTCCCTCAGTGA